CGAAAAAATAGATTTTTCATATGTTTTACTATGTGATCGACAAAAATTACGTAGACTTTTGTCCAGTGAGTGTATACGACAAACTTGTAGATTTGGTGGCCGTCTTCTGTATCTATTCTTGAGATGGCAATACGTTTTTGTTATTAAAAGTTTCCTCGATGGCAGAAGCGATATAGACAATAGCTGTAAGAACTGCGATCATTTTTGTTGTAGTTTGAATCAGTAATGTAGTAAACGTCAATGGGGTTTATATAATATTTTAATTTACTTCTTTATTGTATTGTAATCGTGTTTATAGGAGATCGGTGGTTTTGCGTTCTTTCACTGTAAGCTGATTTTTTGGGCGAATGCAATTGAACAATCAGAGTGGATTAATTGTAATGTTGGCATTTATGAAAAGAGAATTTTTGTGAGAAGTTGGTGTATACAATTGGAAGCTTTCTCCATGGTATACTATACCTACGTTGTTAATCGAGGTAGTAGAAATATGACAGGAGTTATGTTGACAATGGGGCGAGCACTATTAAATTTCTTTGTGATTTCTTTTCCGGCCTATTTTCGGTGTAGGCCTGCCTGGGTACAATAAACGTAACGTCTTTTTTGATTAATGGCGTTAATAATAAATTTCATCGGGCTGATTAGTGTCGATGTTAGCGTTATTATTATTTCCACGATAGCTGATTTGTTGTTCGCTTATCAAACTATCCAATTTTAGTATAAGCTGTGGCACAAAGAAATGATAGCCACCCACCCACATGTGGCTATTTTGTCCGTGAACAAGATTAATGAATGATGTATCATCCTTTGATTCCAGCTATGGGTAAGCAATGACTTTAATGTATTAGCGGCTTTATTGACACACACTTAATAATCTTAATTATGTAGTACAATAGGAGTATTTTCATCTGGCACTAACAAATACAATTGTCGATTGTGTGATGGCAGCGGAAGATTAAAAGGTTTATGAATTAGAGACAGTGACCGCTACATAAGTTAACTTACTGTATTTAAGAACAAATGGTATTACAGATAGGCATGACTGTGCAGCGATAACCTGATTTTGCAGAACCAAAATTTGAAATCGTATATAGATAACCTTTGTCCCTCATTTCAATTCCTCAATTGAACTTGAATTGAATTGAACTTGAATTAAATTTGAAATTGAAATTTGGAATTTGAAGTAAAAAAGCAAACGCTTATTTGCTGTATTATGCTAACTAAATTTATACACGCCTTACTTTTTTGGGAGCCGCTCAGTGAGTGTTGCCAATCAAATGATAAACTGAATCAGCTGATCGTTGAATGGGGGTTTTAAGATTACCAAATATACGTAAATCATACCCATCGATCGTAACACCGACCCCCTTTTTAGGCCCACTTTTTCCCACAGAAAAAAATTTTTTATTATCTTCCCATATAAAGCAATTTATATAGTTATTTCCAATACAACGGTACTATACAGTACTGAGTAGATGCTATGATAAACTATTCTCAATAGTTGGTGCGAATTTCCAACGATCAAGAATAATATAAAAATAATCAATAATATTTACTCTTCAATAACTACGGCCGGCCATGACTTACGCTCTTTATAAATACTATATCGAAGAAAGAGAAGAGTAATTAATTTCACATTAAAAATATCTGCATGCGGATGCGGCGAGTAACTTCGCTGTAAGCATAATTCTCCGCGACAAAAAAACAAAAGCCGATTGTCTTATCGATTGATGCATAAAATAACTAACTAAAAAGACTTTAAACTTTATGCGTAGCAAGCGAAAAAGAAAGCTTGAAGTCCGAGCATTGAAAAATGTACCATCAGTAAGTCCAAGCTTAACATAAAGAGATAATTTTAGAGTTTTCATTTTTTGAATGTCTTGTGGCACTGTGAAGCTGCACTCAATAATTTTCATTCAAGTACTACCTTTTCTGTAAAAGTATCTCTCTACGTCATTACGATGGAGATGCGAATATTCTTCAATCAAAGATATTACCCACACTCGCAAGACATGAATAACTTTGACTAATAAACTAGTCTTTACAAACGTCAACGTCTTCTCAATGTTGCAACATCAGCTCATTCTATGGAACAACATTTTCACGTACGATCAATACGCATGAGAAAAGAATAAAGCTTATGGATTTGTGTGCCGTATTACAAATCGAAAATTCTCTCCAGATAATTAACGTGTTTGTTATCCTTTATTACTTGTAGTCTCCACGTAGAAAACAAAAAGTAATTAATACCTTAATATGAATAACAAAAAATTAGCGTCTCTGTAGACGATTCTACTCTGCCGATAGGACATTACTTAGTTATGAGATTGGCAACAATATATTGATAGAAGATCGATTTGGAAGGCCGCATATGTGAACCCACTGTTTACGTAAAAAATTGTCAAAAGGAAGTGCAAGATTATTTAAACTACAACTTGAGCAAGTTAACAATTCATAAAAAAGCAGTGCAACGTTACAAGTAAAGCTCGTAAATTGTTATTTAAACAGCGAGCGTGGCATGCCCATCCTACATCTGAAAATTTGTCTGATTCCTACTCAACATCCAATATGATAATTCGGACATTATTCCTCGCTTTTATCGTAATAAATTTTGCTTCCGCTACACCATCTCAGCTGGAAAGACGAGATCTTGTCGGTCGCAATGTTGGGGCAGTTTCCTTTTTGACGACGCAAAACGCTACTACTAACGTCTGTAGCGATCCAACCTACTCTCCATGTCCAGATGGTATTTTTTGTTGCCCTACAGGTACAACATGCTTAGCTGGCGGAAAATGCGACGTACCCTGTACTAGTAGCGATATACCCTGCGGTTTCAATGGTTGCTGCCGCTCTTACCAAACTTGTTTAACTGATGGTCATTGCGGAGATGGTGGAAGTGGAAGTGGTGGAAATGGAGGTGGTGGAGGTGGAAATGGAGGAGGAGGAGGTGATGGCGTCACAAGCATCACAAGCATCACAAGCAGCACTAGCACCAGTACTAGTACTAGTACTAGCACTAGCAGCCCTATCGAGCCTAGTAACACTAGCGGTCCTAGCAGTCCTAGCAGTGGCAATGGCATCAGTTCTAGCAGTGGCAATGGCATCAGTTCTAGCAGTGGCAATGGTGGCAATGGCGGTTCTAGCAGTGGCAATGGTGGTAATGGCGGTACTAGCGACGGTCTCGGTGGCGGTGGTGGTGGTAACGTTTCCAGCGGCAGCACTTTTAAATCACAGATGCAATTATCTACCACGCTTCTAACAATGTCTGTTGCTTTAGTTTATGTATTCGGTTATATTTGACTTGGGCATCTTATAATAATATTATATATCAGTATAATTGTTTTTAATGCAGCATAGTTAATAGATAAAGATAACGACTCGTTATAGAGAGAGTTTAATATTTTATTTGTTTATTATTACATTGGTAATAAAAGCGGTTTATCGCCCAGATTATTAGTCTGATATTCTTGATGCGACGCAGATCTTGATCACAAATACTTTTACAATCGATGTTCAAATTATTAGCTTACACAGAGATGCTTTTAAGTCTGATCCTGAAGTAACTAAAGAATACCAACGATTACAACAAATAGCTACAGATTTATCAAATTTCCATCCACTCAGATATTAAGATACAGATTAATATAATAATATTGTAAACGTAAATGTTAACAAACAATGTTGATATAATAATAAACGCGATATTAATAAACAATAACAATAAAATAATGAATTTAAATAATTGAGTATTTATCCATCACTTTAAATAATCTGACTCCAGCAATATTATTTAATTTCTAAGAGTGTCATCGCCCTGTTTTACAATTAGTCAACTTTGACTAAAATTGCAATCATCATACCTAACAAATGACTGCATAACGCAGTGAAGACAGTGGATAAATACTTGATTTATTAATAAATTAAAACAATAGTACAACACGATGCTTAAATTACAGTTACCTTTAAATGTAAACCACTATAATAAAAATATATGAAATTTACGCTGTCCATCACCATATTCAAATTTGTCCAATAAAATACAAAAATTAGGATCAGCTAATAAACAAACGACTGCTATGATATTTAATCTATATTAAAAAACAAGCCTACAGTTTAAATATAACTCTGTTCATTTATTATGTCAAGCCTGCCCGACGAAGCCAGGCAGGCCCAATTTAAATTTCTAATTTTGTTTTACGTTTATTTTTAAATTTTTACAAAATGTAGTCACAATAAATATGCACGAGAAGTAGAGTTTTCGAATAATATAAATTTTATTAAATTTTGTTTAGTGAATTTCTGAAATAAATTTCATAAAAGTTTTGGATTCAAACTTTTGTAATTGTGGATAACAAACGTATCGAAATTTCATGTCAAATTAGTTTGAAATTGACGAATCCTTAAATCCAAAAGACGTCGCTACAAAATTTCGAATTGATGTTGAAAGAGAAGATGGTTATAAATGGAAGTAAGTATTTGTAGGTAAATACGATTTATATATTTTTGTCAATAAAATGCTATATTATGTTTATTTTAGTTTTTGGAAAAAATCAAATCTACAAAAGAAAAAAACAAAATGCCTATGGCTTATTATCTTTGCCTCGCAGAGTAAATGTCTAGCAGACTACAAACAGTCCAATCGCAAACAAATTATGCGCTTTAAATGTGAAGGCCAATTACAAATACTGTACGCATAGACCTGCTAAACGGTTATGCATGCATTATATTAACACATAATTATTTGCATAAATGTCCAGCAAACTCACACAGCATTTCTGAAAACGTCTGCATGGAGATATGGCATTTAGAACCACTCATTACATTACAATTTCGAAAATATCTTACCAAAAAATTTGACTTATTAGATATTATACCGAAACAGATTACTATTGTTGGATTTCAAGCACTCAATCAGCTTATAAATTCGACGATAATCCAGTAAAATTGGCAATATATCTTCTATAAAAAACATGTATCGAAGCCAAAATTGTAAACTTATTATGGAAACAAATACCTCAGAGATTGTTGCCATCGCTTTCTCAACACCTATTCCCAACAGATTAAAGAAGCGCATGTCGACGCAACTTACAAAATAGCTAAAGTTGCTTCGAATTATATGGTGTCGTCGGAGAAATCAATGAAAGTGGATTTCTTCTTGCGTACTGTTTAATAGATACGAGTTGACATTCGGGTAATAATGAATCCATTCGGACATACAGTAATTACTCATAGAATTCTTCCAGGCACTTGGGAATCGACGTCTAATACCAAAGTTTATTTTACCGATAAAGCCGAAATCAATACTGCACAGTTAGTTCACAAACACGTCTGTGGTTATGCGCATAAAAAGAGCCATTGTAACTCGGTTACGAAGCAAAAGGAATAGCAAAGGTTTGCATATATCAAGGAAAGGGACCGTAAACGATTTCCTTTTATCTGTCCAACATTTCGACCAATGCCTGGAAGCGCGTCATTATATCCTTACACAAGTTAGCCGTAACTCTGATAGAAAGACATTCTAATCTGCATTCATTGATACCAATTGACGTGAGTAGCAGTTTGTTGACGCCTGATCAAATTCACTACAATTCAACAAAAGAATTCTATGATTAAGCGATTTTTCAGATTATGGCTTTACCTATTTTCATGTTGGTATTCTGAAGGTAAGTATTTTCGCTCTGGACTCGATCATGTCACCCACAAATATCTTTCAGCAAAACGACAATGATGATTGAAGCACATTGGAAAGTTCTAAAACGTGATTACCTGTATCGCTTCAATCGGCCGCGTTTGGATTATGTAATATATATTATATGCAAACATCTTCTTCCGTAGAAAAAGAATCAACTTCTACAATTATTAAACGGTCGTCAATACCCACATTGGTGGGAAGAATTTAAAGGGAATAAAAAAAGGCGGGACAAAGACACCTTTTTACTAACTCTGGGGGAAATTATTATACATCAGATGCTTTATGGGTATGTAGTTGTCCCAATTTTCTAGAAAGCCGATTATTCTGTGTAAACACTTGGTAATTGCTGCTGGCAGGTGCTCCAAACGACTAATCTACAATGAAATCAGAAGAAGCCGGGAACGTCTATTTATTAGTTTTGTAAAAGACAATCAGAACAAGAGACTAATAAAAATAGTATGAATAAGTTTCGTTTAGAGCAAATAACAATAAAAATGATATAGATTCGGTCTCCTCACTTGCAAATATCCATTGACAATGCCAAACGCAAAGTTTCCGAATCTCCTGAGATCGATATTGAGCAGCTACAGCACGAGATCCAAACACGAAAGAATTTGTTGGATCATTTGACGACAGAATTTGAGGGGGAAAGTATAATTATCGGCATGTCCAAGCGCTACTAAATAATACAAAACGGATTAATGATATTATGGGTGACATCCGCGTGGCAAGAGAAAAAACGTAAGCGAGCTAGAACATGCCGTGGACAACGTTTTTAAAATAAATAAAAAAATGAGTATAAAATTAGCTGAGTTGTGCAGTTTTTCAACTCATCGCTTCCAAAAATAGTAGCGTGGGGTCGGCAATTCCGCAAGACAATTTCTGGACATGATCTACGGATCAGCACGGAATTTGGGAGTTCTTGTATGAGTTGCTTATTATATCGAGGTAATAGTAACGTAACGTTATTTACCGCAGCAGTGGTTGGGGTTGTGCAACAAATATCGTTTATACATAGATATTTTATAGACGCGCACGCAAATAAAATAACGATTAGTGATCTAATAACAAACACAAAAGAAGTTGCTACATTATACCATACTCAAATAAATATGAGGCCTACTTACAGCAATATGTCTATGGTCAATTTACTTTTGTCAGAACATTTAACTTATACTTTAGATAAAGCAACAGCATTACAAATGTGTTAGTTCTCTATGCAGCTGTCGGTTGGTATCATAAATGCATTGCCACATACTAAGAGGAAAAAAAAGATAATCAGTTCAATCGCAAATGTAGTGCATCGTTGCACAACGAAATTGTAGCTTGTTATTTAATTTGTTCATTTTACAATCCGGACATTATCATACAAAAAATGAATATTTTAACGCTATTACTTGCTCTTACTACAATAACATTTGCTTCCGCTATATCGTCAAGGAGATTCAATATTGAAGCAAGAAAGGATAACAAACGCGTTGCGGTCTCCTTATTGACAAACAATACCTGTAGCGTTTCAAATTACGTTCCGTGTCCAAAAAATGGTGGATGCTGCCCTAAAAACACAAAGTGTTTAGCTGATGGCAGCTGCGACCCATGTGGTATCACTGATACACCCCGTGGTGATTACTGTTGTTCCTTGCTCCAGAAATTGCACAGCTAACTTTACCTGCAACCCCTGCGGTGATTATTGTTGTTCCGTGCTCCAGACATGCACAGCTAACTTTACCTGTCAAGATTCTGATTGGTGTCTTGATTCTGATTCTTGCAATGACACGACGACATCTACTCCTGGCCATGCACGACTTAGTATCATCGATATTGGTTATATGAATCGTAGTACAGATGGTGAAGGTGGATGTTGTCCCAGTGGTTTGCAATGTAGTCCTGGCTATAAATGTAATGGTAGCGAAAATGACTGTTGTCCTAGTTTATATATTCATCTATATGTAACGTAGACATCTTACATAATGATGTCAAGTTATAATCATATTTTATGCGGCATGGTTGACATTGGTAGACATGATTCGTTATGCAGTAGAAGTTGAAGAGTTTATCTGTTATAACATTGTCAATAAAATTGGTTTATCGAAAAAGCAAACCGTTATGCAAAACACGGTCTTATGCTGTCCGAAACAAAAAATCAAGGCCTTATGAAGAAACTTAAAGAGAAAAACATATAGAGTATTATGGCTATTAACGAGAGTGGATAATTTATAATATTGACTCTGGTTTGAAATTTTGCTATAAATATTTGTTCATACTTTTAATTAAACACTCTTGGAACAAATTCTGAATGAGTAATGTAATTTTTTTTCTTTTTTTTCGAAAAAAAACCGTTGGTATTAATTTCCAACTATCGTTCGATTATTTTATCCCCAAAATGTGGAGATAATTTATTTAGAATTTTGCTGTATGACTAGCACAACCAGCAAAGTTTTCGTTTTGAGCAGCAAAAGTGGACATTCTTTGTTTGACAGCACCAAATTATTGAAAGGTGAGAATTGTTTAATAAATATAAAACATACGGATTGCGGTATAATGACATCAACAACAGTCTAATTTCTATTACCCGATATCTCTACACTGAATTTGGTAATAACTTAAATTTTTTTTTTTAAAAAAAAATAAAACATGGAAACGTCATATGAGATTTCTTTAGACTTGGAACAACGAGGTCGCACATCATTTCGCTCAAATCAGATTTCTTGGCAACAGGTTTACTTATGGATAGCTTCAACGTTAAGTATCTTAACCTCATCTACATTAGGACATGACAATTGTGTCATCTCATCCTGATACCACTTATCAATTCGAGATAAAAATTTCGATACAATTACTCACTTTTACATTATATCATCTTGTCTCAACTTTGAAGCAAAGAATTTTCGATGCAAATGTGCTGTGGTTTCTTATTGTAGTATTGACGAACAATACCTGTGACAGTGTTCTACGTCCAAATAACGGTAGGTACTGTCCTAAAATACAAAGTGGTTAGCTGATGGCTATTTAATCTATGTGGTATCACCGATAAACCCTGATCATTGTTACTCCTTGCACAGTTGACCTCACATGTCAAAAATATAAAGGTAATTGTAACGTTGAATATTTGCAGTCATGTCAAGATGTGCGGGTTGATGTTGTCTCAATGGCTCAAAATGGGCACCTAACTATATACAAGCAGTTGGCAGCAGCAATGGCACTTTAAAAACCACAAAAGCAGTTATCCGCGCGCAATGACTGTTGTCTGTATGTTTGGTCATATTAATATGTAATAGTAACGTGAGAACATTTCATACTAATTAAGTTTCTTTTTTTTATACAGCGTAGTTTATCGTAATAATAGGATGCGACTCGTTATGTGGAAGAAGTTAACTAATTGTCAGCGTTTTTGGAAGCTTTACGATATAAAGTAATATTCACCGCGAGTTTTAGCACCCAGAACTATTGATTTAATTTCCTTAGCAACAGAATTAGAATATCTTAACTTGAATAAATTTCTTGCCCCGATATCAAGTTTATATCATCCATTTGCATAAGCCAAAGCAGATAATGTTGGAAATAAAAAACTATGTATTTTAACAATTTATTGAATACAGGATGCTGATAGAACGTTTCATCGCTACTCCATATGGATTCTGCCCTGCGTGTGTAATATTCTGATGAGTTCTTGTGTGTGTGCATTTAGCGGACATAAGAATTAAAGTAAGCGATCCGATTATGGTTATATTAAGGTCAAAACTGTATATTTAAATAACCATACCATATTATGACAAAGTAAACTAGCTATAATACATCATGTTTTCAATAATTGTATGATCAGGATAAGATTGAATACGATGATGCTATATTCGATAAATAGAGTGTTTTCTTACGGCAGATGGCACAATCACTTGGGTTAGAGCTATACTCGCAGAATGCAATGAATGCGAAATTTATAAAAATGGTTGTTGGGTTGTAAACGGGCGTTCTCCTCTCACGTGGGTTTTACTTTCTTTACCCACGGATACTGAATAAAGTATGAGCAACAAATATTTGCTTTATGCTGGTTTGATTTCTATCAATAACTTCTGAGTGAGTAATATCCCGTTACCGGGAGGCCAATTAGATTATAGAAGACAATTCTAATATTGATAAACTAGAGATTGATAACACCATATTGATCGAATGCATACAATCTTAGGACATATTTGTTTGCACGGTGACTTTCTGCAACCCGATCGTGTATAAACGTACCTAGTTGCTGAATCTAACTACAGTACTCCATGGGTTAGTGCTTATACGGAAGACTTGAATGCAATACAGTAGCTGCTATTCTTTATAAGTGTCGAATTCCATAGTAATAGACTTGATTGTACGAAAACGGATAGGGATAAGGCCTCGACCCGCCTCTTTAGTTCACGTGCCATTGAGTGTGGTAAAATTTTCGTTAGACTATACTAATACAGCTGTTATTGAGCCAATCCATTTCAACAAATAGTAACGCAAGGGGTTTACAAACTAGTTTCATCGAAAATCGCATGTTGTATAAAAATTCTATTTTAAATAAGTACATGTGTATAATACGCCACTTTTGAATGAATTTGGAAAGATGTGCGTTTTCTTTCATGCATAAGCAGTGGAATGTTCACTCCAATCACATGTTCGTAATTCAATGATCATCAACTGTGTGAACTTGCTATTGCTAAATGTAGAGCCATACGATTTTGGGTTTCCAATTAGATATGCTTTCGCCCGACGTGTGACATATACAAGGTAAAGTATGGCATTGAGTTTGGTCTATATATAATTTGTTAATCCTTCTACGAAACGACTTACGATTTTTTTATCACCACACAATTGAATTGATTGATAGAAATGGTTTCTTTATTCGATGTGCCCGCGTTTCTTATTCTTTTTAGAGAAACAATTGAATACTCTATAATTCTCGCTGTTCTTTTCAGTTTTATCGATAAAATTGTTCCGGAAGACAATAATGAGTTGAGAAAGACGTTGAAAAGACAGATATGGATTGGTACTGCCGCTGCTCTATCCCTCATTTTTATCATTGGTGTTATCTTTATCATTATTTTTTATACTGTCGCTTCCAATCTTTGGGAACATAGTGAAGACGTATGGGGTAAGCATAGTCTCGTAGATTGGAGGATAAATAATGGTACTACTACCAAACAATTCCGTGGGTTGTTAACTATATTACTCTGTAATTGTAGAGGGAGTCTTTTCGCTGTTTGCTGCCATTGTTACGTTTGTAATGGCATTTGGTATGGTAAAAGTCAATCAATGGAAAACCAAATGGGAAGGCAAATTGAAGGAAGCTACTGAAAAACATCTTGATAAACATAAAAACGGAGAAAAGTGGGCTTTGATAATTCTAGCGTTTACGGTTGTCGCCAAAGAAGGTCTCGAAGCCTTTGTGTTTATTGCTGGAGTAAGTTGTTGCGATAAATTAAGATATGAAAATGTCACGGCTACACTGATAATTTAAATCCATTTTTGTAGATTGGATTCAACAAACCAGCATCTAGTCTTCCTATACCCGTTATTACTGGAACTATTGCCGGAATTGTCGCTGGTTATCTTCTCTACAAAGGATCGAGTGTCATGTCTATGAATATCTTCTTTACAAGCATGACTACGTTGTTATTTTTTATTTCTGCTGGATTGTTTACAACGTCTGTGCATGCATTTGTTGAAGTGGCAGAGGGAGCTGATGATAATGGTTCAGGTGGCGATGACGAAATCGTCTTGTGGAATTTAAACTGCTGTAATGAAGAAACAAATCGTGGATGGGAAATTGCCAACGCATTGTTTGGTTGGAGGCATAAAGCTACCTTGGATACAACGCTTGCCTATATTGCTGCGTGGATAGCCATATCCGCTGGGTTATTCTTTATTTATTACAAGGAAAAAAGAAAACGAATTAAGGAGACTGTAACCGACGATCCCGAAAAAGAAATTGAGTCTTCACCACAATGATTAATTCTCGACTATTAATTTTATCGATTTTAGCTATATGCAGAAACAGTAGTACTTTTTTCTAATATGTACTATTTAAATATTAGTATAGATTAATTGTAGAGTTTTTGGTTCTAATTATAGATAATGTAATACTGTATGAATAATTAACTAACACCAGCTATTGAAAGTTAATTAACAAGTATAATAAAATGGACAGACCCAAACAAATCGTTTTCTTATAAGACTGTTCTTTTGTCATGAGAATGAACATTTTTTGTAGTAAAATATTATTATTACACTCTTTTTTTGTGTGTAACTATCCAGAGTTACTAGTCTTTTTTTTAATGGTGTCATATTTACTACGTCTCAAAACAGCATATATTTTGAACAAAGATTAATCTGCTTCAATGTGTTTATTTGGGTCCGTATCATTTCACCGAAAATCATTTCACCGACGTAATATTTCACCGACAACCATTTAGCCGAAAATCATTTCATCGACAATCATTTCGCCGACATATTCACCAGCATTATTTCGAAATTATTTTTTTTTGGTAGTCGTTGTCGGCGAAATATTGTCGGCGAAATATTACATCGGTGAAATGATTTTCGGCGTTATGATTGCCTCCCGTTTATTTGACTAGTCGATAAAACAATGTTATTGATGCAAAATATGTTATCTAATAGGTCACAATTACCAGAAAGTGTGATAGCATGCATTGAAGGAAATTGCATTACAAGTATGCAGAGTGGGTGCCTGTATGACAAGTGAGAGATTACTTGAAAGTGTAAATATTACGCTTAGAATTTTATCGTTATAAAATTTGAACTAACCTCTTGTATAAAGAAATGTTAGATAAGGACTAGCCAAAAAATCTTAGTTTTTTCCTTATTTGAAAAAAAACAACTGCTATATTGCTAACAAATGTAAAGTAATTTGCGATACTATAAAAAATTATTCGCGCGTGTAAAATTTGAACTAATTGCTTTATATAAAGCTATGTTAGATAAGGATGAGATAAAAATATTTAATATATTAAAAAAAAAAGTCTACTATATGTTAGCTGCTAATAAAGAAGTAATTGCATTAATATAAAAAATCATTCGCACGTGTAGCTTTCCAAGACTAGTTTGGTCTATTCGCGTTATCTACCAATGTAATAAAATGCACTATGTAAAATTGACCAAACCGCATATTGTTAGTATTAGCCAATATACACTATTTATCAATTTAACGGAGAGAAGATTGGCATGTCGTCTTTGTTGAAAAAATAATTGGTAAATTTGTGAATTGACACACATTGTAATTGGTCTAATACTAATAAATAACACCTATTACTATAAATGTAAAGAAAATGTTATATTACAACGTGTTGATTCAAAAGTGTATGCATACAAGCAATCTAGTATTTGTTATTGTTATGATCTGAAATAGGAATCAACAGACGGTTACCTAAACGTATTGTCAACTACAAAACTAGATTTGTCAGATTAGAACACCTCTACTCATACGAATTTCAATGTAAGTTAAATAAGGCTTTATTAATATGCAGTTGTGACAATAAATAAAAATAAAAATGAAGATAACGTAAATCTTTTTGACAATAATAAAATCTCGATAAAGTTAAAAAAAAAAAAAGCAACTTAGAGCGAAACAATTTCGTACGCTTCAACTCCTTTATCGATGGCCTTTTGGCGTAAATCCGCAGCCTTTTCAAGGTCTTTTTCTACTCCCTCTCCTTTTTTATAGCATACTGAAAGATTAAATTGTGCACTACCATAATCCTTATCAGCTGCCTGTTGAAACCACTCGGCTGCTTTTTTCAAGTCTTTTTCTACGCCTTCACCCATTTTATAACATACGCCTAGACAATTTTGTGCATTCAAATGACCCTTCTCAGCAGCTTTTTGATAGTACTCAACTGCCTTTTGCAAGTTTTTTTCTACACCTCTCCCGTTTTTATAACATACACCAAGATTGAACGCTGATACGGCATGACCCAGATCTGCTGCTTGCTGATATAACTCGGCGACTTTTTCTAAACTTTGTTCAACTCCGTCTCCGTTTCTGTAACAAATAGCAAGATTGAATTGTGCACCCGTATGGCCCTGATTAGCCGCCATTTGATACAGCTCTGCTGCTTTTTTGAAATCCTTTTCCACTCCCGTGCCCTTTTTATAATGTAATGCAAGACCGAATTGTGCCCCTGCATGGCCCAGGTTAGCAGCTTTATGATATAACTCAATGGATTTATTCAAGTCTTTTTCAACTCCTTCTTTTTTGTAATACAGAGCAAGATTGTATAACGCATCAGCATCATTTTGATCTGTTGCACTTTTATATAACTCGTTTGCTTTTTCCAAGTCTTTTTCCACCCCTTTCCCGTTCTCATAGCACATACCGAGATTAAACAGTGCTATGACATGGTTTTGATCTGCTGCATTTTGGTATAACTCTGCTGCTTTTTCTAAATTTTGCTCTACACCATCTCCATTTTTATAACATGTAGCAAGACTGCATTGTGCATTTGCATGGCCCTGGCCTGCTGCTTGTTGATACAATTCAATTGCTTTCTTAAGATCTTTGTCCACACCTGTGGCATTTTCATAACATGTAGCAAGAGTATACTGTGCATCAGCATGTCCCTGATCAGCTGCATTTTGAAATAATTTAATCGCCTTGGCCAAATTTTTCTCCACTCCTTTACCATCTTTATAGCATATAGCGAGATTATATTGTGCACTTGCACTATCCTGGTCAGCTGCCTTCTGGTATAATCCAACTGCCTTAACCAAATTCTTTTCCACACCATCACCATTCTCATAGCATACAGCAAGATTGAATTGTGCATTTGCATTACCTCCATCAGCAGATTTTTGATACAGTTCAATTGCTTTTACCATATCTTTTGCCATTCCTTCACCATTCTCATAGCATATAGCAAGGTTGTATTGTGCATTAGCATTACCTCCATCAGCAGCTTTCTGATAAAGCTCAATAGCCCTTACAACGTCTTTGTCTACTCCTTCACCATTCTCATAGCATACAGCAAGATTGTATTGTGCTTTTGCATTACCTTGGTCAGCTGCTTTTTGATAATAGTCAATGGCCTTTCTGATATCTTTTTCAACGCCTTGTCCCCTCTCATAATGTACAGCAAGACTATTTTGTGCATCAGCATTACCCTGGTCAGCTGCTTGTTGATATAACATTATTGCTTTTTCTAAATCCTTTTCAACGTCAATTCCTTCTCCACTTTCACAGTATACAGCAAGACTAAATAGTGCGTTTGTATAAGCTTCATTTGTTCCACTTGCTTGACAGCTAACTTGTTCATACAATAAGTTTAACCTTCGATACACTCCCTCAGTTTTTGGCCTTCTGTCAGGGTCATCATCCCAGCATTCTGTATATAAATTATAATAATCGTCAGGCGTTTCAGGAAAGCGGGGATCACGTAATTTCTGGAACCTATAAAGCTGAATAATGTCACGCTCTTGGTATCCTTCACATGGAGTTTCCCCACTAGAAATCTCCCATAGTATTACTCCAAAACTGAATATATCAGATTCCTTCCCACATATATATTCACTATTTAGAATAGCCATTGGATCAGCATATGGCAGAGAGCACCCTTGTTTTTCTGGATTTATGCTTTGTTCTAATAAGTTAGATAGCCCGAAATCTGTTATTTTGGCAACGCCTGAATGAATGAGAACATTTTTCGAAGACTTGACAATATTAAACATTATTACGTATTAGTATTCATCAAATAAATAGTTACTTCACAACAAATATAAAACGTCTTTAGAATTACGTACAAGATCTTTGTGAGCAATATTACATTCATGCAAAAATTTTAGTCCACTAATAATATCAAAACCTAATTTGTATTTATCTTTCCACGTTAAGTCAGAAAAGTGTCGCTGTAAATGTTCTTGCAGAGTGCCACCATCCGCGAATTCAAAAATCATTTGATAGTTCCCATCAATATCTGTATCACAAACCAAGTATTGTGAATAAAAATTCAACTTATTAGCTTGTCGATCGTATAATTAACAAATTTCATACCTTTTCCTAATCCTAAAAACTGAACAATGTTTGCATGACCTTCCATCTTCTTATGATTTATGAGCTAACAATACAGTAATATTAGAAACTGGTTGACAGTAGCATGAATAGCTGCAATAAACTAACCTCTTTGGCAAAGCTTTCATACAATTCTTCATCGTTGTCACATTGTTCTGGAAGCAGCGCCTTCATCGCGACAAATTTACCGGAACTCTTCAATTGAGCCTTGTAAACCACTCCATACCCACCATGGCCGATGTCCTTTTGATCCTTAATTTCACTTTCTGGATAAAAACTGAGTGCGCCATCTTGTACAGCCTTGTCTAGCCAATCTATGTATATATTTTCCGATGCTTGAAGTTGGATCATCATGGGAGAAACGTAACCGTTCAATCTTGACAAGAGCAACAAGTTAACATTGATACGTATATATAGCCGTATGCGCTTGCGGTACTACATATTAATATCCCCCTGATTTCATACAGTAGATCATTACGATGGACGGAAGACAATCAAAAAGATACAAAGGTATTTGCTATGAATGAAAATTGCGTACTTATTCATTACAGGTAAATATCGCGGATTGGACCAATAATATGCAGGCAGTATTTGTTTAACAATGTCAATAATGCATCCGGTGGCACAGTTTCATGTCGATTGTTCCTTATCAAAAAGGATTCTTTGCCTAAAACTCGAACAATGTCGCAGTTGGGTCTACAACGAATTAGTCAATTCATATTCGCATTCATAAAATAGTTACACCGTCACAACTATAGGTTTTGACTATTAACGGGGTACTGTTAATAGTAGCGATCATAATACTATGATTGAGTTGTAACAATAGATGGAATAATTATACACAGAAATATAGTGATTTAACGTCCGTTTTCCCGCGCCATTCCGTTGTCCAAAATTTCCCGCCGATTACTACATTGTACCGTAGAATCTGCAAGTTATATATGCATTATACCGTACACAGCCAAAATTCCTTCACATTCAAACTCTGGGTTACAAGTCATGTTTGAATTCTTTGTTTAATTTCTTAACTTGTGCACTTATGCAACATATATGAGATACTATGACCAATAAAAGTAAGCTTACCATACCTGATATACTGTGCTATATTACTATCGTTGTCTTCCCATTGACTGAAGAGTAGGACTTTCAATGAACAACCCGACAGACGATTGCTGTCATCAGACCATCTGTTGAAACTGGGAAAGGTATAAAGCTGACAGTGAATTAGCTCACCGAAGAACTAAAGCACTTGCTCATTAATGCAAGCGTTGACGGAAATATAGTAATAGTATTTGAACTAACTACTTTTTCTGGGTGGAGAATAAAGCGGAGCAGAACGTGATCCAGCGTTTGCAGTTTTATTGGCTGAAGCACACATTAGACCAATAAAATTGCGAGAATTTAGACATACCCTTCTTTTGGATAAAGCGTTTCAATATAATAGTATAACCTTAACAATACTGGTAAACACCAGAATATGCACGAAACTTTTTTTGGAAATTGTTCTTCCTGATTTTACTGCGGCTGAATACCACACCTTCTCCAAAATGCTGGAACCTTCTACCCGCGTGGGGTAACACCACCAGTACACGTACTCGATCATCTACTCCGATAGAACGTTATGGAACATTTTTATGATAGCAATATTGCCTATATATAAAGACGTGTGCACTCGTATTTTTTTTCGTCTTCTTTCCCTTTGTTCCAAACTGCCTCGGAAATCTTTGACACCTTGATTCTGTTCGCAGCAACAAACCGTTCCCGCAAACGCTTATAGGATTTACCGAAGTAACATACAATATAGCAAAAATGGCAGAAACCAAGCCAGAAGTTGAACAGTTTGCTTTCCAAGCTGAGATTTCTCAGCTAATGAGTATTATTATCAATACCTTCTACTCAAATAAGGAGTAAGTATCTGGTGGGGTACGCGGAGAACTGAGGCTGTGATGTTCTTAGTTTACTTATATCGTCGTATAATGTCTAAATCCGAATCATCCTATATGCCTGCCTGTTAACCGTTTGCTTGTTCTTCCTTTTCAATTTTTATTCTAGGATTTTTCTTCGTGAACTGATATCAAACGCATCTGATGCCCTTGACAAGTTTCGATACCAATCACTCTTGGATTCCTCGAAGCTAGAGAGTGGTAGTGAATTGTATATTCGGATAATTCCAGACAAAGAAAGTAAGACTCTTACAATTCGGGATACCGGTATTGGCATGACGAAGGTAATGTATGGCTAATGTGAAAATGCTGCCCACGTTCTGCCGGTGCGCTAATCTCAGCTTATTTTCTTCATTAAAATCAAAAGGCTGATCTTGTGAACAATCTCGGTACAATCGCCCGCTCTGGTACCAAAGCATTTATGGAAGCCCTTCAGACCGGTGCCGATATATCTATGATCGGTCAGTTTGGTGTCGGTTTCTATTCAGCCTACTTAATCGCGGACAAAGTGCAAGTCACCACAAAACATAATGATGATGAACAATACATATGGGAATCAGCCGCTGGTGGTTCCTTCACAATTACACGTGATACTGAAGGCGAATCTCTTGGGCGTGGAACCGCAATCAAATTATTCCTCAAAGAAGACCAGTTGGAATACCTTGAAGAAAAACGTATCAAAGAAGTCGTCAAAAGGCATTCAGAATTCATCGGCTATCCGATTGAGCTGCAAGTCTGGGAAGAGGTTAAGGAAGAGAAAAAAGATGAGGAAGAGGTGGAAGGTGACGATGAAGACAAGAAGGCAAAAGTTGAAGAAGTAAAAGAAGATAAAGATGAAAAAGAGGAAGAAAAAAAGAAATTAGTGAAGAAGTTTGAGGTCTTGAATAAGACGAAGCCGCTCTGGACTCGTAACCCCGAAGACATAACTAACGAAGAGTATGCGTCATTCTACAAGTCGATCACGAACGATTGGGAAGATCACCTGGCGGTTAAGCACTTCTCTGTGGAGGGTCAACTCGAATTCCGTTCCATCCTCTTTGTACCTCGTCGTGCACCATTCGATCTCTTTGAAACCAAGAAGAAACGCAATAACATCAAGTTATACGTTCGACGTGTATTCATTATGGACGATTGTGAAGAACTAATTCCAGAGTATCTCAACTTCGTTAAGGGTATAGTTGACTCTGAAGATTTACCACTCAACATTTCACGTGAGACTCTTCAACAGAACAAGATCTTAAAGGTCATTCGTAAGAATCTCATCAAGAAATGTATAGAGCTCTTCTTTGAAATTGCCGAGGACAAGGAACAATTCAACAAGTTCTATGAAGCATTTTCCAAGAACATTAAACTGGCCGTCCATGAAGATAAAACCAACATGAGTAAATTCGCCGAATTGCTCAGATTCAGTTCTACCAAATCTGGAGATGAGATGACTTCGCTTAAGGATTACGTTACCCGCATGCCCGAGAAGCAGAAGAACATTTACTACATCACCGGCGAAAATCGTCAGGCCGTAGAAAACTCTCCATTTACCGAGGTGTTGAAGAAACGCGGATTTGAAGTGTTGCTCATGACAGATCCACTTGATGAGTATGCTATGAACGCACTTAAGGAATTTGAGGGCAAGAAGACAGTTAACATTACAAAGGAAGGACTCGATCTTGGCGAAGATGAGGAAGAGAAGAAGAAACGTGAAGAGGAAGAGAAACAATATGAGCCTTTGTGCAAGGTGATCAAGGAAATTCTTAACGACAAAGTTGAAAAGGTAACTATCAAACGGCTATGTTGCACCAAAATTCTTTCTGTGCAATAGCTAACAATTTCCTCTTATAGGTTACTGTTTCCAACCGTATTTCAGAATCTCCATGTGTGCTCGTAACGGGCCAGTATGGTTGGTCAGCGAACTTTGAACGTATCATGAAAGCTCAAGCCCTTCGTGACACAAGTATGGCATCTTATATGGCCTCGAAGAAGATTATGGAAATTAATCCACGTCACGCAATTATCAAGTCTCTCAAAGGCAAAGTCGAACAAGACAAGAACGATAAGACTGTGAGAGACCTCACGTGGTTATTGTATGAGACTTCTCTGCTGCAGTCCGGTTTCACACTTGAAGAGGCTTCATCGTTTAGCAGTAGAATCTACAAGATGATTAAACTCGGCTTGGATATTTCGGATGAGGATGATGATGAACCTGAGGCTGATAGTAAGGAAGAACTACCAGAATTGCAAGAATCTGGCGAAAGATCGATGATGGAAGAGATAGGTATGTAAAAAGGACGACGGTTTGTGTTTTAATTATTTATCAGTAACGTTTTCTAATACGAACAATTCTATCCCCGTTTCATTCACAGATTAAATTACACGGGTTTAAATAATTAGAAAATCTATACTAATGGTTTGTTCGCGCTGGGGTTGTGTGGCATTGTATAAAGACATAATCTATATATAAATAAAACAACTCTCTGAATATATAAATGAGTCAAAGATTATAATATTGACTGACACATTGGTAAAAGATAATAAACAGCTTGCAATAAATATCTCTTTACATACGTTACTTGTTCGTTGATATAACCGGTGAGTCACGTGATGCCGAGTATGATCAATGTGCATATTAGCATGACTAGGAAATGTCCCTTAGCGATTATGAACCAAGGGAAACCACCCTACATTGTCAGAAGATTAGGATGACAAATTTCACGCAACTAAGCCCAAGAATTAACGATGCCAAAAGTTGAGTCAGACGAAGAATATCAAGAGGAGCGCTTGTTGCGTTTGTGGATTTATAGAATTGCGCATTGAAGAGTAGCATGATCTCCTTATACAGTACGGAGTTCCATTCTTTCCATTCTTTCAACTAAGATTGTTGTCGGAATAGCAAGCAATCTCGCAGATTGAATAACTTTGTTTATTCTTGGGACAAGGATATTCTTTCCTGGGAAGAAGTATCAAGGACAATGCTGTTAGATCACGACGACTGTTACTTGAGCATTTGGTTATGAGAACGTGCCAATTGCTTCAGTTCGTTGTCGCTGTGCCTTTGAAATGCCAAGAGAAACAAGACTATCGTTTAAAAGATAAGGTTTAGGTCAAAGATATATACATGGATGTGCGTGATATTGCAAAAGTATCTATCTCTAATAGTAATAGCTGGATACTCACGATGTTGTGCCAACAGGAAGATCTTTAATATTACGAACATTCCCCCGTCAAAATGAACATTCGGGGTGGGATTCTAGCAACGGTCGCCTTATTTACGTCTCCAGAAAAAGTTACCTTGCTGCATTAGGGGTGCGTTTTGCATGGGATGGCTATTCCATTTTAAAAAATGTCTCCCGTCCCTTGAGAATTTAATTTCGCCCGCGCTCTCTACACATTGGAAGAAACCGCATAATCATCGTAACTATGGTGTTCTAGTAAAAGTATCAAAGATAATCAAATAAAACATTACAATTTGACGGGTAGTCATCAGAGGATAAATATGTGCATGATTATGATGAAGCACCTTACCTATTGCGTGCCCCGGGACCTCACATTTTCACAGTGATATAACCATATACTGGTAGTACCATTTCCGAATATTTCTGGTAGAGTACATAGCCCTTTATTCGAGTATAGTGACCTTCCCATAACTTGATGTCACGTTACCCAGATGATCTAGACGGTGGTTATTCACAATGGCTATTAAAGTTGCACGCAAGTCGTTGTGCTACAAACGATCAGCGGGTTATTCATTCAAAAATGTCCATTGATCCCGGCGAGAGCGTAAATTTCGTCCTCGAGTAAGTTACAGCAGTAATTACAGTGGTAAAAATGGCAGACGTAGGCAACAATAATGAGACAGCAGCTGCTGAATTGAGTGAAAATGTCGAAACGAAACCAGGTGGAACTGATAAGACGGAGGGTAATGGCGAAAGTATGTGTTGGGGAGAGAATGTTACTCTGCTATTTTCACAAGATCGCAAAGCTTTAGTTATTTTGAAATTCTCAATAAGCGCGCTCTGACGTCTCTCTAATACCGAATTGTCGTCATTTAGCTTCTCCTCGCCCACAAACTCTTGACTCGTCTGTGACCGATTCTTCGCCCTCGCCAGATGCGCAAAATTCTAAAATGCCGACGCCGTCATCGTCACCATTAGTTGAGAAAACTGAGCAAGTGTTGCAGTCTTCAGCGCAATCTCGAGAATTGAAGCAATCTGTTGAGGAACAGAATAATCACGGTGTCAGTACTTCTCCAGAGGTCCCTCCTAAGGAAGTTGCAGGCAAACCACTTCCACCCGTTCCTCAAACCCAGGCCCTTGAATCCACATCACCTGCAATAGCACACCCACCAACACAAGCACCATTATCCCCGCAATCTACGAACCTGCCGTCAGACATTGAATCCTCGATCCTAGACGCAACGCAATCTTCGATCAATGCCTCTGCTGAACCCAAAGCACGACAGTCCACGACTTCATCTGATAGAGCCAAGAAGAATTTTGCTAGCGCGTTTACAGCCGTAAGAGGTTTTCTTGTGAGGAGTTCTAATATGGTTGTGGAAAAAATTAATCAAAAACTGGAGGAGATGGATGAAGAGATGCTGAAGGCCATGGAAGAGGAGGAAATGCTTAAGCAGGTGGAGAGCAATCAGATACCAAACGGAGAAATTGATGGAGGAGCTAAAGAGGTACAGAATGGACAAATCATTACCGAAGAGGAGAATCGAGCTGCTGGTGACCCGGTAAAAAGTGGCGTGAATGAAGATGATTATAAGAAAAAACGAGAAGAATTACTTGGTCCTTCTGCACCTACGGCTATTAATAACAAAAATAATACCAAATATGCGACTGTTCCTACTTCCTCCAAGTCTGCAGCCAGAGCATCGCAAAAGAATTCCACAAGATCTGTCTTTGCTGAGACTGCCGACGCATTGAATGAACGTGGAGATAAGCTGGGTCAACTGAACGACAAGTTGGAGGACATGTCGAATAGTAGTAATGAATTTGCTAGATTGGCTAAGCAACTAGCTGAAAAAGAGGCAAATCGGAAATGGTATCAATTATTTTAGTAGACGTTCTGTGTTCCTCAACTGTATAATTCATGTTCGGATTCATGGTCCCTTGTTAATTGTATATTTATTATTGATACGAAGTGTATTTATTTATTGATGTATTAGGCATCAAATTTATATTTCACGTATTGTTTATAATGATTTGTGTGTTTCCGGGGGAGATTAGTGAAGGTTAAATTATGAATACTTTGTCCGCGATAATCATGTCAAAATGGACAGTGAGTGTGAGATATAAATAAAGGGTGTTTAAAATTACGTAATCAATTCTTTTCTTGTAGGAAGAATCCGATTACACAATTATTAATACATCGACACGACAGGTTATAACTGATGAGTTTCAATCGTATGTGTAGAAGAATGACAATTCCCATGAGAAGTACATATCAGAGGCGAGCGAGGTTCCTCGTTTATACCTTGCGTAAATACACTTGCTTACTATTACTACTGCGATGTCTGGCAAGACGACTATCCCCCGAGGAGATACAAAATTGAAAGTGCTCTGAAGTGCTCGAGTTTCTCAACAACAATAGAATTCAGTATGATTTCGACAATGAGCCATCGGAAACAACCAGATCGCTGGCGTTGGCCTTCTCGCGCTGGCTGAAGAGAAGCTTTGCAGCAGCGGCCGCATACAGTATATTGTAAATGTTTATAAGAGTATCAACACTGTAATTTAGGACTTGACGTTATTGACATAAAATTTAGCTTCTTCTGTCTCTTTGAATCGACATGAGTACATTAACAAATATAGCCATTACTCCTGCTGTATTATTAAGACGAGTCCCCAACGCTTTGGGCGTCTGTTAATTTGTCTGGGATAGTGTCACTAATTCGACTATAATAAATGGTAGCTAATTCACTTTATAGTACACACCATATTGTAAACTTGTGTAAGGTTTGATGAGAAAGTAACTACACAGTCACTCTCGATATAATGATCCCCCGATAAGATGAAGTGGCCTAATATGATGCTTTTTCCCAGAACCAAAACAGTTATAATAAAATTGGGCT